GAACTTTGAGGGCAGGGGCCAAATTTTTAATGTTTTAAAAATATGTATCTTTAATAAACTATATACAATAGTCCTTGCTTAGCAACCACTCATTCAGTGACAATTTGAAGTTGCGATCACGCTGAACAAGTGGTACTTACAAGAAGTCTTTGACGTTCTGGCTGTTGCACCAACCCTGTGGTCATGTGATCGTGAACTGGCTCCCACTTGGTGCTGCATCCATGGGCCCTCCCTCAGCTGGCAGCAGCCACCAATGGGCCCGAGATAGCACGCACACCACTGCAGCCTCTCACGCACCCTCTCTCACTTGGCAGCAGCCACTTAACTGCCTGCTGGCCTGCTTGCAAGCCACCTGGGACTTGCAACTTCCTGCCAGCTTCCCCACTGGCTTTGGTTGTTGGAAGCCGGCAGGAAGTTGCGAAGAGGTCCTTGCTTAATGACCTGCCATCCTCACTTAACGACAGCAAGGGGATTGCTGTCGCTAAGCAATGAGCTCACGTGACCAATTATTGTCATTAAGCAAGGACTATCTGTATTGAAACTGTCACGTTAATCATTAAACATTTCTATTGAGTTCACTGGAAAGGCTCAAACAAGTCTGCAGGTGTGTGAATACAGACTATTAACCCTAATTTTGTTTTTGGTTATATGTTGCAAAGAGGGGGCAGCTACTGCAGGATCTCCTATGGAGATCTTTTAATTATATCCTTGAATACAAAGCTGATATAGTTTAATGCAGTGTTCTCAACTTTGGCAACTTTAAGATGGGTGGACTTCAACTCCCAGAATCCCCCAGGCAGCATGTTGGCTGGGAAATTTTGGGAGTTGAAGTCTACAGCTTAAACTGGTCAAGGTTGAGCAACACTGGTTTAATGTGAGGCTAGCTTGGAACACTCATCTTTTTCCAGTCATCTCACTGAATACAGTAGACATTTTGCTACATACTTCCTACCTGACCACCCTGGTTGCCCCGGCTCATGGGGACTGGTGCGCTGACCTGCAGATTTTCAGGCAGTTCAGCGACTGGCTGCTGTAGGAAAAGTGCCATGAGAAGGAAATAGAGCGCAGGCACATTTGTGTGCTTAGGAAGAAATGACTGAAGAACTGGGAAGCCTGGGAAATGACAGGCGTCCCGATTAATTTCCCTGACAGTTGATCTGCCACCAGCACTCCTGCCAACATTAAAACCTAAGCAGAAAAGAAAGAAGAAAAGTTAGATCTGTAAAATCAACACTTACTGGAAAAACAAACTCAATGCCACTGTCACTATGGTAAATAAATGCTTGGCTACAGAATGATTTTTCTCAATGTCATTTTTATTCACCTGTAGGTTTGAGGTTATGAAAAGTGCTAGGCCACAGAGAGAAAATACTTCTGTAGCCAAAACCTTGGTCTGAAGAGACAACAATTTTAAGTGTGAAGTTTACTGATATGCTTCATCCTTCTACTACTACGCAAATTCTATTAAGAACTTTTTCCTGCATAAGCCCACTGAAGCAAATGGAACTGCTCAGGAATTCAGTAATGACCAAGTATTGCCCAATATAATCATTACATAATTAAACAATTCTTCATTTCACCCCCAAAGAAATATTTCCTCATTCCCTTTCACTTTTAAAAGAAAACACATTTATAATTTTTACTTTGGATTTATCAAAGATTGCGAATGGGTTAGTATAGAACAGAAACATAAAAACTAAATTATTGTTGTTTGCTTTTACAGGAATTCTGAAAGACTATTCTTTTAAATATAAATTGAATGCATAGTATAATATAGGTAGTCCTCACTTAACGACCATTTGGCAACTGTTCAAAGTTATGACAGTGCTAAAAAAGTGGCTTACTGCTGGTACCTGAAGTTATGACCATCGCAGCACCCCCATAGTCACCTGATCACAATCTGGGTGCTTGGCAACCAGCTCACACTTAAGACAGTTGCAGCATCCCAGGGTCACGTCATCACCATTTGCAACTTTCCCAGCCGGCTTCTAGCAAGCAAAATCAATGGGGAACTGCATGATTCACTAAACAACCATGTGATTTGCTTAATGACCACATGATTCACTTAACCACTGCAGCGATTTGCTTAACAACCACTGCAAAAACGGTTGTAAAATTGGGTGCGGTCATGTGATGCCTCACTTAATGACCGCATCGCTTAGTGACCTAAATTCTGGTCCCAATTGTGGTCATTAAGTGAGGACTACCTGTAAATAAGTAAACAAGATTTTCCACAAGAATACAAAAACAATGAAGCAGCACTTTTTTCCCTAAAAGAAACAAACACACAAACTGTCATGGAATTGTACTTTCCAGAAAGTTTAAGTACTCGAGTGGAAGCCAATTTCATTTAAATTTCAGAATAAATTTTAGTAGTATCACCTTATCCTGTGATGTCTGTTAATTCCCAATAAAAATTATTTATTTTTAATTTTTAAAAAATAA